AAATTTGACAGGCTTTTGATAGCCTAGGTTTAAATGGAAACAGGAGAAAATAATATATAGAAAGAATAAAAAAGCTTAGTTCTTGAAATTAACCTTATTAAGGAGGCTTAGTTGGAATTTTTCCCATTTATTGTTGATGTGAGGTCCAAGTTGTACATAGAACGTGATGTGATGGAATATGTGAAAACTGTGAAGACAGTCTATGATTATATGTTTACTTCACACCTTAAAGAGAATATTTTGCCTATCTTAAGTATTTTATAGACCTGATTATGGAAAATAGTAAACGTACCTTCCTTTTGTCCTTTGTTGGTTATTCTCCTGTCCTTTGTGTAATGCGCAAAAGTTGTCATCTAAATTCCTCATTTTTTCCAAGTAAGCATTGTAAGAGCAGAAGGTGGCATTTAATTCCTTTAAGGCACAATGATCACTTACTAGCCTTATTATGTTTTGGAATTACTTAATCATATGAGCTCATTTCTTGATATGCAAAGTGAGCAAAGTAATCTCGTACTCACGGAAAACTTTTAGGCTTTTATTCCTTTCTAGCATTTAACTACAGAGTGAAGACAGCAGGTTAGACAGATTAATATTTGTAAATTTTCACTGCTTTTGTAGTGTTCCCTGTTAGATACTTAGAAATTATTTATTGATTGAAGAAATAAATTAACATACTTAAAATGAATATGTATATTACAAAGACACTGTAAAAACACAGCATTTCAAAATCATTTGATTAATATGGTTTCCATTCTGAAATGATTCTTTTGAGAAGTACATTTCTATTTAGTCTGCTTTATTGACATGTACGCATTTAAAAGAACCTATAAGTAGTTTTTACGGTAGAGTGACAATTTTGACTGTTTTCTATGATGCTTATTTTTCTGCTCCTTTCCTGATCAACATCTGTCATAGCTCCAAGCAAAATGGATGGTAAAGTAACAGGAAGTTGTACTTGGTTTTCATTTCCTGATTTGTCTTAATTACAAAGTTCTAACGTATATGTTGCTAAGCACATAAAAAATATATACTGGCATTAAAAGTGATCAAAATTGTCTTAGCAGCAATTTTCACTTGCTTTAATATGTATTTTAATAAGGATTTAAGTTGGTAGCCTCACATGAGTGGTTGGACAAAATGAGACACTGAAGTGTGTCAGTCATGCTGAAATGGCAGGTTCAATCAATAGTACTTATATGACTTGTTCCTAAAACGTTTTAAGAAGGTCAGTATGAAGCAAGCAGCCAGCTATTGGTTTTATCAAAAACAAACTCCTATAGAGTACAGCAACATTTAATACACCAGTGGAGCATGAAAAAAATGTACAAATTAAATTGAAAAAGCAGCTTCTTGTTGAAGATGTGTTTCTTTATATTGAACTCCACAGTATGCATTTGGTAGGTTGGATTAAAATGTTCTATCAAGACAATCAGAACTTTTTTCCTAATAAAAAGATAATATTTTAAAAGATTTGTTGCCGTTTTCCTTAGTATATAGCTATTCTCAGTCCTTTCAACTCATATTGTGAAACCAGAACCATGTGCTCTTCACAGCCTCCCATCTGAAATAAAGCTGTTTGTTATTAATATATTCAGGGTCAATAGATTTGCTGTCTCATTTTTACAGAAGAATTATAAATTAGACATTTAAATTTCAAAGATAGTGAATCAACATTGGTTGTGAGCAGAGGGCTTAATCAGATCAATTATAAAAACATAAAATTGGAACCAACTCTTAATTTTTTAAAAGTCTACTAGAATGGAAAATTCTTTATTTAATGTTACAACATTATTTAGACTAAAAATATATATGGGGCACATAAATCTTAGGACATACATTGTTTGGTGAACAGATGGGATGAATGAAAGTGTGACTTCTATTATAATAGTTTGTTTGTACTTTCTTCAAGTGATCAGCTTTGAACTAGGGAATAAAGTTAAACTTCACACCAAAATATATTTTAAAATATGTCCTTAAGGATTACATGACATCTTTGGAAAGAATAACAATAAAGAACAATTTTACCTACTTATTGCACAGTAACCTCATAGTTCTTAAATTGGTGTATGTGCTGCCGAAGTGAGCACTTTTTTTTTTGAAATAGTGAAACAGCTTTAGTTCATAGTTCTTAAATTGGAATCCTTAATTCTTAAGTTAGCATCCTTAGTTCTTTGAATGCTTACAGCAGTGGTTGTGAATACTTTTCATATGCTTATGAAAATGTTTTATTTTACTTGAATAGTAGTTTTATGCAAATGTTAGGTTGAACAGATAGTGCAGTGAATTTTAGTGAAAGGCAGTTAAAATAGTTAAATCTAAGTTTTGGGTAAGCTAATGGAAAAGTAGTAATGCAGGTATGATGCAGGTACATTTTTCGTAATTAACTGCTGTCATTCTATGTGTTCTGTGTTCTTCATTTACATGTCTGACATTAAGATTTTAACATTTGATTAAAGAGTTCTTTTGTAGTATTTTAAGATGACATATGTTTTATGCTTGTTTTCAATGTGAGAATTTCATAAAAAATTCTGATAGCAAAGCAAGATCTTCTCTCCTTTTAGATGGGTTCACATTGTCTGTGCCCTCTATGTGCCTGGAGTAGCCTTTGGAGATATTGACAAATTACGACCAGTAACACTAACAGAAATGAACTATTCCAAATATGGTGCAAAGGTAAGACAAAGTGATTTTTATTGCAAAAGAGAACATTTTTACTTGTTAGTTTATTTTTATTTATTTTTTTGAGAATCTACTCCTCTGTTTTATTTAATTATTTAACTTGTGCTAGCTCAGTATATGACTGGCCTCTCCCTTTTACTTGTTAGTTTATGTGGCTTTTTATTTATAGCACTGGCGTTTATAGAAGTGCTTATTAGCCTATTGCTTGCTCAGCTCTTTAGTACTAAATTATTAATGATGCAATTTAGCTAGAAATCTAATAATGTATATATTTTTTGTCCTATTTTAAAAAATCTCTCTCAATGTGTGACAGTCATTCTACTGTAGAAGAAAAATTAATTTTCATAGCAAAACATATCCCTTACAAAAACACATCCATCATACCTCATGGCTTGCCAGGAATATTGTTTCTCTCATTATTTCTAGTGTTCATTATCATAGATTAACTTCAAATTAACTTTCAATAACTGTAATTTCTGGTGAAAACAGTAATAAGTGATTGCGAACTACCTGATGTGTACTAGCGTTCAGTAGCTTAAACTATTTCATTATTTGTAGGAGCATATACTTTTTCATAGTGAAGGTGTTTTACTACTAAAATAGCACATGTTTACTAATAGATTCAGATATCTTTATTTTCTTTGTAAGATGTTCAAATTGGGTAAACTTATATTCAGCCATTAATGTTTTAGCGTTTTGGGGGCCGAGGAGATAGCTCAGTAGAATAAGCACTTTCCTGGTAAGTGCAAGGGCCTAAGTTCAATCCCCAGTTCTGCAAAGAAAAAAAAAAATGTAATGTTTTTTTCTTATGTGAAAATGATGTGGATACTCAGTGAATATCTGTAATTTTAACTTTGAAAAATTCCAAGGGTGTAAGCTACCAAAGAGATTTGGGAAGCTGTTTTTAAGTAGAAAGGATATAACATCAAACAAGGATTGCCACATTCAGGCTATTTCCCTGGCAATGGGTTTTATACATAGTCTTCACAAAAGCAAGCCTCCAAAAAAGTTAAATATGTGAGATTTTTATTTTTCTTCTGTCCTTAAGCTTACTGATAACCATTAAATAAACTTGTGCCTTTTATAAGGAAAGTGTTTTAGAAAGAAGCAGTTTTTAATTCATTTAATGTTTTAGGTTCTTAGGGCTGGGGAGATGGCTCAGTGGACTAATGTGCCTGCTTAGGCAAGCTTAGGCAAATGCTTGGTTCAGTCCCCAGCACCACGTGCCATGCCAGCCCTGCCTCCAGGGTGGGCTGAGCTGGCCAAGGTTCTTAG